CGAAATAAACAACCCTATAGATTATTACAAATAAAATAAGAGAGTTTTAGAGTCTTTTATGGTAATTTTTTTTATATATTCTGTTCCTGGAAAAAAACATATACCTACTCAATATTTAGTCACAGTTATGTATTCTCTCTCTATCTCTACACATATTTCACATCTTTTATATCTTTGATAAACATTTGGTCAAGCAGGCATGCTATCTTTTATTTTTGACATCCCAGCAGTACTTAGCAACTTAAATTTATTCTGAGATACATGCAAGAGCCTGCTCGTACCTGTATAAAGAAATAAATGGTCCCTGGATAACAAGTATTTTCCAGAAAGTCATTGTGCTATTTGTTAGCGCCTAAGGGCATACTTTATTCATCACATAATACAGAATTCATCTACTGTAAACTCTCGCTGGATCTTTCCTCTTCTGTTGAATTTCTTAACTGCATTCTAGAACAAAGATTCCATTTCAGAACATCTATTAATAAACAAAACATCTAGAGCCAGTTCTACACTTTACTCATATATCATGATTATTTTCATTAATTAGCAGTTATTACCTATTAAACCATTCACCATGCCATCTTTTATATACTTAAAATATATTTCAATATTCTCTATATTTTCAAGAAAAGCAATGCTCTGCTGTAGACAAATATACAGAGGAAAGCACTGTATAGCAACTGATTCATAATGCACATTTATATTATTATTATGTTATTTATATAGCGCCAAGAAATTACGCAGTGCTTTACAGTGGGTGGATGAATAAACAAACATGTAGTTGTAACCATACAAGTTGGACACACAGGAACAGAGGTGTTGAGGGTCCTGCTCAATGAGCTTACATGCTAGAGGAAGTGGGGTAAAGTGACACAAAAGGTAGGGAGAGTATTAGACTGTTGCAAGAGACTAATCAGTCGGGAGCAATTAACAGTTTAATTGATACGCTTTTATGAAGAAGTAGGTTTTTAATGATTTTTTTGAAGGAGTGGAGACTGGGTGAGAATCTAACAGAGGAGGGAAGGCAGTTCCACAGGAACGGTGCAGCCCTGGAGAAGTCTTGAAGGTGAGCATCAGAGGTGGGAGTATGGACAGAAGTTAGACGTAAGTCTTCAGAAAAGCGTAAGGGTCTAGACGGGACATACTTATGTATTAGGGAGGATAGATAGGTAGGAGCAGCATTATGTAGAGATTTGAAAGCAAGAGCCAGAATTTTAAATTGAGCCCTATATCTTACAGGAAGTCAATGTAGGGACTGACAGATGGGCGAGGCATGGGATGTGTGGGCAGACAAGAAGATGAGCCTCACCGCCGGATTCATTATGGACTGTAATGGAGCAAGTTGGGAGCACGTAAGACCACTGAGAAGCGGATTACAGTAGTCAAGGTGAGAAAGAACAGTGGAATGGACCTTAGTCACATCTGGCGTTAAGTAGGGTCAGATGCGCGCAATGTTTTCGAGATGGAAGCGGCAGGATTTGGCGATAGAATGAACATGAGGCGTGAAGGAGAGGTCGGAGTCAAAGAGAACACCAAGGCAGCGAGCCTTCGTGGTGGAGCTGATGGTAGCACCGTTGACTTGGAGGGAGACAGACACAGGAGTAGCAACACTTGAAAGAGGAAAGACCAGAAGTTCTGTTTTGGAACTTAAGGAAGTAGGCAGTCATCCAGTTAGATATAGCAGAGAGGCAGTCAGAGACAAAAGTCAAGAGGGACGGGGAGAGGTCAGGAGAGGACAGATATATTTGCGTGTCATCTGCATAGAAATTATATTGGAAGCCAAAGGAGCTAATGAGTTTACTAAGGGAGGCAGTATAGATGGAGAGCAGTAGGGGATCAAGGACTGAACCTTGGGGGACACTAACAGAGTTGGGGAGAAGAAGCAGAGCTAGAGAAAGAAGCACTGAAAGAACGCTGGGAGAGGTAGGAGGAGCAGCAGGAGAGAGCAATATCTTGTAGACCGAAATTACAGAGGACGAGAAGAAGCTGTTGATGATAAACAGTGTAAAAAAGCTGCAGAAAGGTCAAGGAGATTTTGCAGCAAGTAGATCATTGGATACTTTGGTCAGTGCCATTTCCACAGAGTGCTTAGCACGGAAACCAGACTGAAGCGGGTCTAACAGAGAGTTGAACTCGAGGAAGTCTGTCAATCTCGCATACACAACTCTTTCAAGGATCTTGGATGCAAAAGGCAGTAGCGAGATAAGATAATAGTTGGATGGGGAGTTAGGGTCAAGGCTGGGTTTCTTTAGAATTGGGGTTATAGTTGCATGTTTGAAGGTTGATGGAAATATGCCGGAGGAGAGAGAGCGATTGAGAATTTTAGTGAGAGTTAGAGAAAGAGAAGAAGACAGAGTATGGGTGAGATGAGAGGGAATTGGATCTAGGGAGCAGGTGGTGGGGTGGGAGGACTGGAGCAGAGCAGAAACCTCTTCCGTTGTAGTGGGTGCGAATGAACATTGAACAGCAGAGGGAGTGAGGTTAGGGGAAGTATTGTAAGGGGAAGAAGAAAGAAGAGAGATGTCTTCCCTGATCTTGTCAGTGAAGTGAGTTGCAAAGTCTGAGGTGGTCAAGTGAGTAGGTGGAGGAGAAACAATAGGGCGAAGAAGAGAGTTAAATGTGTGAAATAGTCGTTTGGGTTCGTAGGAGAGTGTGGTTATGAGGGTATTGAAGTAATTTACTTTTGTAGAGGAATGAGCCAAGTTGTATGAGCGCAGCATAAAATTATAGTAGAGAAAGTCAGACACACAGTGAGGCTTTCTCCAACAGCGTTCAGCAGTTCTAGAGCATTTTTAGAGGTATCGAGTCAGCTTGGTGTGCCAAGGTTGTTGTTGGGGACTCTTGCTGCATTTAAATGCAGGAGGTGCCATGTTGTCTAGTTGAGAGGAGAGGGTGGAATTGTAGAAGGAGGTTGCAGAGCTAGGACAGGTGAGGTTTGAGATAGGTAAAAGGAGAGTTTGGAGATTAGTGGAGAATTGCTCTAGGTCAAGACATTGATACCAATGTGCCAACGAAGACCGTTTACGTTCTGTCTAATTATATTGGTGATGATGGCTTAAGGTAACAGTGTCTGCTGCTGGATAGGATTTTGTAATAAAATGTTGACTTCAAAATGTATCACATTATGACTACATGATAGAAATATTCACATTCAGGCTTATTTACTAAAGTGAGTATCCACAGTGAGTTCAAAGTGAATTTCAAATTTAAAGGGACACTATAGGCAACCAGACCACTTCAGATCATTGAAGTGTTCTGGGTGCAATATCCCAGGTACCTTAACCCTGCAAAGGTAATTATTGCAGTTTAAAAAAAAAAACTGCAATAATTACCTTGCAGGACTAACTCCACTTCTAGTGGTTGTCTACCAGAAGGATTTTCGGGATGTTTCGACATGCAGCATCTCCAGAATCCCCATAGGCGAGCATTGTATAATGAGACGTGAAGGCAGACCTGAGGCAGACCCGAGTCAGCACCGAGCGACATTGACGCTGGACCCAGGTAAGTGACAGAAGGTTTTTTTTACCCCTTTTGCACCATGAGGGGAGGCCACGAGGGAGGAGGAAGCTATTTAGCCAGGAAAACAAGGTTGTTTTTCTGGCACAATAGTTTCCCTTTAAAGCCAGAAGAGCCAGATTAAAAGCATTGACGATTTAGGGAAATTTTCCAATTTGGATATCTCAACCTCAAATTTTTAATTTACCTTGATTTCTCTCAATGTAGGGCGACAAAGAGTGACAGCAGGAAGGGAGGAGGGAAGACTCATGCTTTCACTTGCAGGCACTCTCCCCGCACAGTCTGCAAGGATAGAAGCTGGTTACATCTAGGGGAGGGCTGGCAGCCTTAGGCCTGGGGGGGGAAATCCAGTCAAGTGGCCCATTGCACCAAGAGGAGAGTAAAAACAACTTTCCCATGTGATTGAAGGGGGGGAGCAGACACCTAAACAGACAGACGCACCGACAGGCACACATACACTTGCTGATTTGGCACACACTCACCGACAGGCACACACACACTTGCTGATTTGGCACACACTCACCGACAGGCACACACACACTTGCTGATTTGGCACACACTAACAAACACGCACACCCACTGACAGACACACAGACAGACAGACAGGCATACTGGTTGACACACACACACAGACATACTTGCACACACATAGACAGACATACTGGCACACACACAGACAGACATACTGGCACACACACAGACATACCGAAACACACAGACAAATGAGCTGTAATTGGGGGGTTAGGAAATGTAGAGAGGGGATAGGAGCTGAAGTAAGTTGATGGCTACAATTTGGGAGGGGCTCTGGTGTGGGTGATATGGTTTGCAATTGGAGGAGAGGGGCTGTGGTGGGGGGCATGGGGCTGAGGAAGGGGGACAGGAGCTAAGAAAAGGGGAAGGGGGACAGGGCTGAGCAAAGGGACCGGGGCTGAGGAAGGTGGACAGGGGCTGAGGAAGGGGGCCAGGGGCCAGGGAAGGGGACAGGGCTGAGGAAGGGGACAGGGGTAAAGAATGCGACGGGCTGAACAAAGGGACAGGGGCTGAGGAAGGGGGTACGGGCTGAGAAAGGGGATAGGGGCTGAGCAAAGAGACAATGGCTAAGCAAGGGGACAAGGGGCTGAGCAAGGGTACAGGGGCAGAGAAAGTGGGACAGGGGCTGAGGAAGCGGACAGGGCTGAGGAAAGACAAAAGGATGAGCAAGGGGACAGGGGCTGAGGAAGGGGGACAGGGGCTGAGGAAGGGGACAGGGGCTGAGGAAGGGGGACAGGGGGCAGAAGGGGACAGTGAAAGGTCACAGGGCTGAGCTGAGGAAGGGGACAGGGGCTGAGGAAGGGGACAGGGGCTGAGGAGGGGGATAATAAAAAACTAAAGTGTATTCCCCCCTCCCTGAGTCTTACCTTAGGCCAGGGAGGGGTGGGCAGCAGCCAGCAGGAGCAGCAACCAGCATTCAGCAGCAGCAGTCAGTGAAGTCGGTCTTTCCTGAAGATGTCAGGAGGAGGGGGCGTGACTTCCTCTGCTCTTCTCCCAGACTCCCCAGTGATCCTGTGAGAAGAGCAGTGGAAGTCACACCCCCTCCTCCTGACATCATCAGGGAGAGTGAGGTAAGTTGAAAAATCAGGGGATTCTGATTTTACCTTTTTTTGCTGGATGCGGACAGCCCTGCCCCCCGTCCCAGCTCACCCCTGGTTACATCTGCCATAAATGTCATATTTGCTCAGAATTGACACTAGACAATTCCGGGTTCTGGGCTCAGTCACTTGTGTCAGAGCTGTAAGTAGCCACCCTTGCTGATTTTGTACATTTAACTATGCATGAGATCTGTTAGGAAGTCAGCAAAGGTTTTAGGAATGTAAAGGACCATCTGTCACCTTAGCATAATGATCCTTTCACCAAGTTTAGAAAAGAAATAGATTCTTTTTTAAAGTATATGTCAAGAGAAAAACTCAACTCTATCTTTAGTGTATGACAGGATCCTTTAGCCGTATACATACAACTTGGGTCAGACAGTGTTTGAAAACCGACAGTCTCTATAGTCTTCACAAACAATGTCCCTAAATAATTGCCTGCTTATATTCTATTGAATAAGCATAGCATATCAGATGAAAGATTTTACTTAGCTAGTTAAAGTTAGGTCAAAGTCTAGTTTCTGCCATAGACCCTGAATACTAAATGAACAAGGCAACACTAGTCAAGAAAGTGTTGGTACATGTTTACTTGTTGATAGCATATACTATATCTACAATATAGAACAAAGATATTATTTTTTTTACGTTGGGGTTAGGACAGAAAAAAGGGACAACATTTTCTAAAAGTAAGTCAAAACAGCAATTTGGGGAAAAAGGAATAGGGAGTAGAGGGCACCCTGATCTCACTGTAACATTAATTGAGTGGGGTTACAGGAGAAAGCCATACATTCAGCAACAAATCACTGTCATCCGATGGTCAAAAGCAAGAGAAATATCAAAGATTAAAACTTCTGTGGAATATAATGACTCAAAGGAGACTTTATCAGAATCATTAGAAGTAGGTTAAGAGTCTACAGGTGGATCAGAACGATGGACAACAGGAAAAATACTAATCTGAGCATGTAGAAAATGCCTGATATCAAAGAAACACATCAAACATAACATGATTTAACAATGAAAGAAGATAATAGATATCATATAAGAATACTGCTAGTAAATGTCATATCATCAGAACCACACAATATAAACTATTATTTTCATACCTTGTATACAATGTGTCAGAGAAAAGTGTACTGCTTATGTACTTTGGTATATAAATGGGCCCTGAATTAAAAAGTTTGATCAAAAAGTGCTATGTGGATGACCTAACTTGAAGCATATACAAATACCAGTGTAGTCTTTTTTTAGAACAATGAGAGTCACTGATGCTGACTTACAGCACCCATACATTTTCTTGAAGGCCCATGGCAATCAGAGAAAACATTTATATGAGCTTAAATGTTCACATACCATCAGAGCATACACCACGAGTGCCTGTTGTTTACGCTGTTCTTTCAGATTGGATACAAGCTTGATTTCTGAAAATATTCATACATATTCTTTGATAAAAACCTTAACATTTTGTACCGTACTCGAAGTGATGGAGACACTAAAAAGACGGTGGAATGCAAATGGATGCATTCATGGTGCCCACACAAGGAAATCAAGCAGAGAATTAGTTGTGGCTAGGAGAGAAGGTTTACATGAATGCAGAGGAAAACATTGGTGAATGGATCATATTGGGGAAACTATCGTGGGCTTTCTAAGAGAGACGTCCAGTGAGCCACCAATGAATGATAGGGATTAGCCCTATATAAGGAAACTCAAGGGGGTGGATATTAGGCTGTAGGTTTTATGGTTATTATATTCTGATTGTTTTATTCACTTTGTGGTCCCTGTTCAAGTCCACTAGGAGGATGAAATGTTTTGGACTTTTTATACTTGTATTATAGTTTTGTTTTATCGTTTGTAATATTGTTTATAACAGGCCTCTTTAAATACTGTGACGAAGTGCCCTTCGCCACTTGTGCCTGGAGAGGACTGCTTGCCCGCCTCTTGCCCTGTGACTATGGCCCCTGGGATGTATTGCCCTTTAAAGACATGATTTGGGCATAATGGATTTGTGTTGTGCTGCTGCTGGCCCTTTAAGAACCATCTGGGGACATACTGTTGAGTTACTGGGTGGCCACTATTTGCTGTATCAGAAGCACATGGTGAGAACAATGGATGGCGGCCATTTTAACTCACAGACACTGTTTGGACTTTTCAACACGGTGCCATCTCGCCAGTATTTGGTGCACAGAGACATCGTGCAGTGGTTTTGGACTATACAGCAGGGGACACATTATACAGTGATTGTTTTTCATTTAGCCTGTATATGTTCTGCAAAATCTGCATTAAACTGTATTTTCCAAAGTACTGAACGGATCTGGGTGAATTTTGGATATGTGGTTCACCCAGATCCCCCAGTTCCAATGATATACTTTATGGGGTTATTGCTTGTTTTGGGGTCCCTGTGATGTGTTTTATGAAACTGTATTATTTCTGGCCAGCAGATAATTGAGCTTTGTGTATTGTAGAAACTCAATTATCTAGCCTGGCCCAGAGGAGGAGTTTTGTGTTGCATGAATTGTGAGTTCTGTGTGCCAGTAAATCAGTCTTGTTCCAGCATTAAGCCTTGGCTCATGTTTGGGGGATTGGAGAAATACACTCTGGGGATTGCTATAATCACTATACTCCCCAGGGTATGATCACTAAGTTCTGCTAAGAGCTTGTTCCTGTTCCTGCTCTCTAGGGAAAGAGAGGTTCACCCACTGGAAGCTGGATCTTGGCCTTGGGTCCAGGGTGGGTGGAGACAGCAGAGACCCCGGCGCAGTTGCATCGCTTGAAGTGGGGTCTGCAGTGCTGATGGTGTCGGTTGGAGTGCTTGGAGTCCTCAGCGAGCACTAGGAGCATCGATTGGCGGAGGTACTCAATCGGAGTGCCAGCGTTCCGTCACAAATACCTACTTGGATCCTTGAAGTTTTATCTGTTTGGGCTGAAAGAAGGGTAAAAGAGGCTAAACCCCTCCCATCCATATGCATCAGAGAAGGCAACTTAAGGTGCTTTGATTTCATCTACTCTGTGCAATCATGAGTGTTCTATATATGCATAACAATTTGTCACTATACTTTGCTAATTCCTTTATGGATACATGGATACATAACTGTATCTTGCTTTTTCACATATTTTATGTATGAGGCTAAGGCATGGTTAGGGCGTCTTTATTGTAAAGTACTGTGGAATAAGCTGGCGCTATATAAATACCAAAATTAATAATAATAATAATTTAAAAAACAGATAAGGATAGTTAACATTAGATTTATTAGTGCTTAGGGTTAGCAAGACTTAAGATCATGGTTAGGGGTCTTAGGTATAAATGTGTCTTGGGTGACTTGGGTGAACTTGAGATACTGCCACCAAAGGCATGTTAAACAATCACTTTAATGATGAGGAACTTGTTAAAGTTATCATTTAGTTAGCTTTTCAAATTGAATAAACAAGAGGTGTCATCAGGAGACACCTACATATTCCAGCAAAACTAGCAGTATCACAAGGTCATACATTATAACATGCAAGCAAGATTAGTCCTTGCATGCAGATATTTCAGCATTCTCTGTAATGCTAATCCACTTTTCACATTGGCTTGTAATATTGGCCATACATTCAGAAGCATAACGGAATAGCATTTTCCAAGATTTCCTTTAAGTGAAAATGTGTTCAAAGGGAAATAATTAGGCTAATTGCCAGTGAGGCATATTTACGCTTTAGGAACTTGTTTTCAGATTACAAAATTTATGTAAACTTAATTTTAAAATACTACACTACATTGTAAAACCAACTATCGTCCTATCTCGCTACTGCCTTTTGCATCCAAGATCCTTGAAGGAATTGTGTATGCGAGATTGACAGACTTCCTCGAGTCCAACTCTCTGCTAGACCGCTTCAGTCTGGTTTCCATGCTAAGCACTCTGTGGAGACGGCACTGACCAAAGTATCCAATGATCTACTCGCTGCAAAATCTCGTGGTAACTACTCTATCCTAATTCTCCTTGACCTGTCTCCGGCTTTTGACACTGTTGATCATCAACAGCTTCTTCTCATCCTCCGCAATATCGGTCTACAAGATATTACTCTCTCCTGGTGCTCTTCCTACCTCTCCCAGTGCTGTTTCAGTGTTTCTTTCTCTGGCTCTGCTTCTTCTCCCCAACTCCTCTCTGTTGGTGTCCCCCAAGGTTCAATCCTTGGTCCCCTACTGTTCTCCATCTATACTGCCTCCCTTGGTAAACTCATTAGCTCCGTTGGCTTCCAATATCATTTCTATGCAGATGACACGCAAATCTACCTGTCCTCTCCTGATCTCTCCCCGTCCCTCTTGACTAGTGTCTCTGACTGCCTCTCTGCTGTTTCTAACTGGATGACTGCCCACTTCCTTAAACTGAACTTGACCAAAACTAAAATTCTGGTCTTTTTTCCCTCAAGTGTTGTTACTCCTGTGTCTGTCTCCCTCCAAGTCAACGGTGCTACCATCAGCTCAAACAAGCAGGCTCGCTGCCTAGGTGTTCTCTTTGTCTCCGACCTCTCCTTGAAGCCTTATGTTCAATCTGTCGACAAATCCTGTCATTTCCATCTCAAAAACATTTCGCGCATCCGCCCCTAGTTAACGCCAGATGCGACTAAGGTGTTGGTTCATTCCACTGTCCTTTCTCGCCTTGACTACTGTAATCTGCTTCTCAATGTGGTAGCGAGGCTCATCTTCCTGTCCGCCCGCACCTCCCATGCCTCACCCTTCTGTCAGTCCCTACATTGGCTTCCTATAAAATATAGAGCTCAATTTAAAATTCTGGTTCTTGCTTTCAAATCTCTACAGAATGCTGCTCCCACCTATCTATCCTCCATTATACACAAGTATGTCCCGTCTAGGCTTCTACGATCTGCTGAAGACTTACCTCTATCCTCTGATGCTCGCCTTCATGATTTCTCGAGGGCTGCACCGTTCCTGTGGAACTCGCTTCCCTTTTCCGTTAGATGCTCACCCAGTC